TTTGATATTGGCATTATATATCATTCATCGCCAGCCTTGCTCGCTAAATAACGACTACAACAGCCACTAAAAATCTATATTGGTCAACCACTGACAGGAAGTGACACATTAAGAAACTTTTCATGATTCTTTAAAAACCTGTAATGCTGTTAGGAGCAACTGGTACGTATCTTAATTTGATGTAGTAGTGGAACAAGTGAGAAACTGACCAACTCACACACCAACAAAAGGTCCACAAAAATCACACATGGGTCTGAGCATAGCATCTGAAGCCTACCGAGAACAGAGGCTCTCCAAAAGGTCAGGGTCCTACAGATAGAGGACCCCGAGGGGGTTATAAATAACCAGATGATTGCTATTTTGATTTCTAACTGACAAGCTCACTGGCAAATGGGGACTGCAGGTAGTACCAGGTAAGTATACAAATGAAATCACCAATTTGGGATCTTTAATGGAAATGTTATATGATATATTTTGTTTGACAAGAAACAACATGGGGCATATGTTTTTGTCTGCTGTTGAAGTGCCTTTAATCAAGCCACTAAACTTAAACTTCTTCTGAAACCAAATTACAAATTGCTTAATGTGGCAGGACTCATCATCTTATAATTCATTTTGGCACCTGGCATACACTGCAATAATACACCATGTCTCGTACTGAGCCAGATATATTCTGACCTGCTGTAGCCTCCCTGTCTCACACAATCGTTGCCACGTGATGTCATGACCCTAAAAGGCCAAATGTCACATCAGACTCACAACAGACAGCCGTTGACATAGGTGACTAATGTCACATTGATCAAATGTGTCAAGAGAACTGGGCTCCTTTTTTATCAGTATTGTTGAGAGTCTATGAAACCTGAGTCACAGCGTGTGCTGTAGTCAGGAATCGGGCGTAGTGTGTGAGGGGAGACAAAAAAAACAGATGAAAGTTAAAGACAGTTTAAGATTATTGAAAAGACATCCATCAACAGCCGAGAGTAGCGCACATTAAAAAGCTCAAGAAATATAAAAGACAACACATCACGCAAACATCGATTCTTGCATGCGAGTTGACATTCATCAAAAAAGTCTGCTGTACTTTGTGCATAAAGAGCTAATAAACAGAGGATAAACGCAAATTCTGGATAGAGGATTTACAGTTCCAGTCCATGATGGTCTGGAATGGTTGAATGAACAGCTGAGAAACCAACAGCCAGAGCTGCTGAGCATTTATCCTACATCTGTGATAGTACAAGGACCTTCAAAGTAAAGAAAACTTTCTAAGCCTCTCTTTCTTCAAACTACCACATGTGGGATTACAGAACAATAAATCTTTTCGTCCTCCCTTTATGGACTGTATATACAAAGTCACTTTGATGCTTGTGCTTCTCTAGCCAAACTATTAAAGAGGTACTCTGTTTGTTTACCACTCTGTGGAACATGCCACTGGAGCCAGCACACCTGCAAACAAAATGTTTAAACTTTTTAATTCAACTCAAACCATGTGCCAGCTGATATACAGAGAAATTAGTTCATACCGTCAATTACAAATATTTATCTAGATGTGTCGAATACGAAATATCAAGAAATATGAAAAATATAACTGTAAAAAACATAAAATGTGCTGAATTGTTAAGAGAGAATTCAACACATGAGAGAAAACATGTCAAGGATGTTGAAAGAGCTTCTCATGTAAGGCGATATTTTTTTCCAAACCACACTACTCCTGTCATTCACCTCCCACAGAGGAGGGCCCCCCGTCATAACTGAGCAGTGAGCGTGAGGAGCTGAAGCCAATGCTGTATGTGTCTACAGATTCCTCAGAGCCTACCAGCTAGCTGTGACTTTTAACAGCCGACCCGTTCCTCCACACTCCCTTTAGCCCACACTGAGAGTGGAGAGAGGAGAGTGATATCAGTTTATCATTTCCCGCTGTCAGCCAGCCACTGAGGGGGTAAACTGTGTATTCAAACACAAGGAATTTCCTTAAGTCAAACAGCATGCTGCAGAATCAAAGTCATTTAAAAAAACACCAGGGATCCCAATTTTACCAACAGAACATTTTAAGTATTGTAGCTTGAAGAATATTACAGCTGCCCTTGTAGTACTCCATCATCTGGAGTAAATTAAACCCAAAGGGAAACGCTTTACTTGGCAAGAAAAGAGATGGACCAGGATCAACTTTGTGATCAGCAGAATCACAAACAAACAAATCATACCGTTCTGGCCACATAGCTCATGCAAAACCTGTTCTCCTCTCCTCTCCTCTCCTCTCCTCAACCCTTTAAGCCTCCTGTCACTGCAATTTACCATCTCTAAGAAGAGGTTTAACTCCAGTTATGATCACTTAGATCAAGGCATAATCAACTCTACTATGCACATTCCTAGAAGAAACATTCTGTTAGCAGACTAAATCCACTTTGATTGGGGTTCACAAATAGGCATGAAATCCTGCATAACTGAATTGGATCTTGTTTGTATGAACATTAGCTTGCAGAGAGGAGAACAGAGAATAACTAACGCCGACTGTTATGGATCACTGTCAACAGTCCTGGGAGAAAGCCTCAGATGATATAGGATTAATAGCCCTCCCTCTCTACTGATGGTAAATCAAGTGTAACACATCAACACATTGGAAGAATGTCTTACACATACAGTGACCGTTGCATTAGTCGTACGGTAACACCAGCCAAAGCAAACCAATTATACTTCTTGGATTTCTGGGTGAGAAACATGACATATCGAAGCAAAACATCAGATTTAGTCATCGGTGAGGGAGAGAAGAGAAGAGAAGAGAAGAGAAGAGAAGAGTTGTTGTTGTCCACGTGTTGGTGTGTTGTCCAGATGTTCAAGTAAACAACGCTGATGACGCAACCAATGGAACATGTCAACCTCGCTGGTGACCTGAAGTAATTAATAAAAGGGATAACCCTTTAAATCTCATTCCATGCAAATGTTTAGTCCACTGACACATTCAAAATAGAGTTATCTGATCTCTTTGCTTATTCCTCTGTGGTTCAAATATGGCTGAAAGGTTATACTGTAGTCATTAACAGACATTCTAAAAATCAACTGTGTCTGAGTGTGCGTGGTTGCCAGTGTCTGTGTGCATGCATTAGTGTCCAAAGTGTGCGTATGTTGGTTGGCGTTTAACGATATGGATGCGGTGAACCAGCAGCAGCTTCGTGAGAGGGAACATGCAGTAGTGTTTGGGAGGCCAAAACATACATTATATGATTTAAAGACAGCTTGTGGCACTTTTGATGGGCACTGTTTCATGAATACTGTTTACAAGTGAAGTGAATGTTTATGGCAACAGTCACAGTGAGTCACCTACAAACAGACGACACGGTAACTTTAAGCTGGAGCATGGAGTCACAGGTAACATTTTAACACTTATGTAAAAGCGCTTGAAAATACAGTCTAAAAAAGAGATACGACACGGCATCAAATGAGTGTACCTTGTCAGAGTTATTGTTTTAGATTTCCAACTGTGAATTCACCACTGTTTATCATATTTAACTTTAAAAGTCCTGGACGTTAAAGTCAGAAAAAGTCATGTACTGTAACATATCTGACACAGTTACTGTACCTACTAATAGCAGAATGTGGGGGAAACGTCTAAGCCTTTAAATATGCTGATTCGGGGAATTCAACAAACCATTCAGAAGGATTGGATTTTGGAAAAAGGACAAAAGAGAAACTGACCCCCGCATGCCTGGAATGATGATTAGTTTGTGGTTTTTATCATAAGCAAAACGAAAAAGAAAAACAAAGGATTCAAGAAAGTAAAATGCTTATTGAGCTAATCTGTCACACATTTGTCCTTGATCGCTGTGAATGAACGGCGCTTTCATCTGACACTAAGAGTCCACCAGAGTCTGTGGTTTAGACGAGCTCGGGGCACTTGTCTTATACCATGTCCAAGTTTAATCATGTACTATTTATTATTATTATACAAGAGCCAAGATCAAGCAAGGAATCAGACAATGATCCAGGAGCTACATCTAATAAATCACATCAGGGAAGCATAATTCCTCTGAGCTTCTGTGCAAAACCATTTTATGACCTACTTCTAAAACTTATTCACGTAAGTCAAACATTATTGTCCTGGCAGGCATTTAATAACTCCACTCTTGTCCCCCTGTGAGGAAGGCTTTTGTGTTTTTCATGGCGTTTAACAGTCGTATGCGCAGTCTTTACCTCTTCACTAACCGTTTCTCAGTTGCAGTTACTCTAGGATTACATTACGGAGGATTACAGGNNGATTACAGGGGGGGGGGGCACTAAAGTGTGCGCTCAGCTGCAGGCGCTCACACAGAAGTGACTCCCGTCCCTCTGCGCCTCAGACACAGTGGACTCATGTGAGGACTCAACACTGGACCGACTACTGAAAGTGAATGTGGACCTTTTACTCTTTCCTCGGGATTTTTTACGCTCATCAAAGTGCAGAGGTTTCGTTTTCTACAGCTGGAGGCGCGGAGAGAGAAAGTGTGGGGATAACTCAGACTTGTTTTTTGTTTTTTTTCTGGGGTAAAATATGAATCTGCTAGTTATTACAATTATACATAGAATGTGCACCGTGATTTTATAAGAGTTTGCATGCACTTTGTTCACTTTCTTGCTATCCTAATTCTAACTATGGGCTAACAGTCTCCTCTTT